TCACCCACTGTATTTAATCATTCACTGAAATTTTATACATAATACAAATGTGTAGTCTCTGAACTCTGACTCACCAATTTCTCCTTTATTAATTTCAGTGGTTCCCTCACTTCATACCCAAAAAACTAATTCAAATAGACTGAATTTGATAGATTCATTGGGTGTATTCCTATTTGCAAAAAAAGTTCAAATGGAATTCACTTATCCCAATGCTCTGGACAGTCTTGTCTATAAGCCCTCAACATGGTCCTTAAAGTTTATTGCCACTGTCCTAATGTCCCCTGTGATTTTGGATGGTATCCAGTGGATTTGAATTGTTTTATTCCTAAATTATCCATAATTTTCTTGAATAACTATGATGTAAAATTTAACACTCTCTGAGGGTGGTCCGTATCTGGTAAAAAAAAAATTGAGTAACTCTTCTACAATCCTTTTAGCTGTAACATTGCGTAATGGAATGGCCTCTGGAAATCTAGTGGACACATCCATTATTGTTAACAAATACCGATTCCCATTTTTTATTTTAGGTAGGGGTCCTACACAATCAATTAAGACCCTTGTAAAAGGTTTCTAAAATGCAGGAATGGGTATTAGGGTACTGGTTTTATTGCTGCCTGAAGTTTTCCAATTACCTGACACGTATGACATGTCCGGCAAAATTCAACCACATCCTTATGCAGTCCAGGCCAATAAAAATGTTTTTGTATTTTGGCTTGAGTTTTCCTAACTCTCAGATGACCCCCTGTTGCTACTTCATGTGCTACCCACAATAGCTGCTTTCTATTAACCCATCAGTAAATACAACCTGATGAACTTCTGCCCATTTCTCATCCACCTGAAGATGTGATGGTCTTTATTTCCTCATTAAGTCAGTAACATTCTGGAATACACTCAGATTCTTCTGTGTATGATTTTTGATACAACTGCTTTAGATTTTCACCTTTCTGTTGTAATTCAGTTAATTTTCCTGAACTAAAACTATCCACTTTGTTCTCCACCTGTTCTTGTTTCTTTTCAACCATTTGATCAAACATAGTCTCTGATAATTGTATTCAACGTCCTTATCTTTATCCTTTGATTTCGCCTCCTGCTTCAACTTGTGCCTTTGTGACTTTGTTATCCCTCGGTCAGGAAAAATCCCAGGGTATACTTCATGTAAGACATTGGCTGATTGTCCACTGGCTTTTCAACCACAGTAGGCATCACTCCCACCTGTGATCCAGCTATGTCATTACCAAGGATAAACTGTATTCCTGGAACTGAGAATTTCTCTGTCACTCCTACCACCACTTCACCACTTTTCACAGGACTCTCAAACCTCACTTTATATATTGGAAAGGTGTTCTTCTCATCATGAATTCCACATTTTACCACTTTTTCTGGTAAGACTCCGTCGGAATTACATTTCTCCTAATCTCTCACTGTCAAAGATTGACTTGCTGCTAATCTCTTAAATTTTGTTTTACCTGCTGTTCCAAACGTAGATGAGTAAATCTTACTCTCACAATTATATTCTTTAAAGAGATCTGGCACTTTCTTCTCAACCAACCCCTGAGCAGGTTGTACTTTTGCAGCTTCTTAGCTCCCACTGTGCTTTCCTTTACGACTTCAACAAAGCTCACTGGCTTATCCTGATTTTTCCCACATCTCTCTTCCTAGTGCTTTTTCTAAACCAACAACACTGCGACTTCATGTGGCCTATTTTATTGCAGTGAAAACACTTGAGCCTTTTTACTTCTCTTTCCTCCTCATGGGTTTCCTTTTTACTCTGTGGCAACTGTCGTTACTATCTTCAATGAGATCTCCTTTTCCCTTACCACCTGAGTATTTTCTCTTTTCCCCAATTTATATCCCTCACAGATTGAAATTGATGTTGCAAGCCAAACTTTGATTTTTGAACTAACTCATTATCATCAGCCATTTCCGCTGCTAATCTTGCAGTCCTAACTCTTTGCTTTTCGACATGAGTTCTCATTACTAAAGGAGGTGAATTTTTGAACTCCTCCAAAATAATCGTTTCTCTAAGAGCGCCATATGTTTGATCAATTATCAATGTCCTTATGCACCTAGGAAAATTGCGTTGTTTGATCCTTTCAAATTCAATGTATGTTTGACCAGGTTCCCTCCTTAGATTCCGAATACGTTGTTCAAAGGCTACTGGTCCTAGCTCAAATGCACTTAAGATGGCTTTCTTCACTTCATTATACTCCCCAGATACCACCTCTGATAGAAAGCAAATACCTGACTAGCTGTACCTACCAACTATGTTTGGATCACCAATACCCACATGGTCACGAGCCAATGGCTTCTACATCCATCTCATCAAACTTTGGCAATGCTTGGACATATTTAAACAGACCCCCACCAGGCCTTTGGTTACAATAGGATTGCTCACCATCACTGTCCTCATCACTACTCGTCCTTTTCACCTCAACCTCCACCATTTCAAGTCAACTTTGAGTTTTTAGTTCCAACCTCTGAATTTCAAAAACTCTCTCTTTCTAACTTTTTTCTGCTAGAGCCGCCTTCTCCTTTTCTGTTTCCTCTGCTTTTATTCATAATTCAAACTGTTTCATTTACTTTTAATGTTCAAGCTTCTTCATTTTCAGTTGAATTTTAGCCATTTCCAAAGATTCCAATGGCATTTCTGGCAATTGTAAATGCTGCATGATGTCCACAATTATCTCCCCTTTCGTCTCAGACACAGGCAACTTCAGCTTGTTTGCCAATTCAGGAAGTTTTACCTTCCTTACTTCCTGTAGAACTCCCGAAATAACCTCTTCTACCTCCAGGAAATCTAAGTCACTGAAAGAACCATTACTACACAAGGCACACCCTGTTTAAACCAAACAAATTCAACACTCTAAATAAAAAACACTAACATATACCACACCCTGCCTTTTGAGTCCAACAACCGTCAAACCAACCTGGAGTTAAAGACTTTGGTCCTGACAAAAGCGCCCAATTTGTTATGGACCAGACCAAGTGCCCTCAAAATATATTCAGAAGATAGACTAGATCCTAATCATCTTATTTTAAAAGTAAGTGTAAGGTGTTGCATTCCAGATGTAATGCGATCGGTCAAACTACTCGATGTTAAGCAAAACACACTTTATTCATACACTATGGTTAAAATACAAAAAAAAAGAAGAAATTGAAATAACTTAACTCTTTTGGAGAACTTAACAGAATAATAGATTATTTTACAACTTACGGTAACTGTTCCAATATAGTACCATAAAAGAAACAGACTCTTGGCAAGAGGTATGTTCTGAAATTGTCTCACAGGCAATTCTCCAGTCCAGGAGGAGAAAAATATCAAGAGAAAACTCTTTTGGGGGGAGGTGGGGGGGTTGGTTGTGTTGGGAGAGAGAGAGAGAAGCAGCAGGGAGAGAGGTACTGTAGCTTCCAAACCCAGATCCAAGACCCAGCAACAACTGCTACTGAAAACTAAGACTAAAAATCCTGATTCTGTGGGAGCTTGACCCCACCCATTCAGGCTGCTTCTGTTGTTCCAACTTTTAAAAAAACTCCAAGGACTCAGAAGCAGTTTACTTTATTGGCTTTGGAGCAGACTTCCCTGCATTTCTGTTGCAATCCTTCTTCATTAAAAATAAAAGGACAGAATACACCTCTTAAAGCCATAGTATCATCACAATAGTAAGCTTGTGGACTAGTCTCAGAGACTCATTGACGTTTTACAGCACCACCTAACAAGGATGTGACTATACTGATCCCATTTTCCAGCTCTTGACACATAGTACTGGAGGCTATGGCAATGCGGGTGAAATACTGCTTAAATGTCACTTGAGTTTCTGACTCAACCACTGTTTCAAGCAGCGAATTCCAGACTCCTACTGCATACTAGGTGTAAAACATCCGTTATCCTCCTGTTTGCCTTCTAACTCTTCATCTAAATCTTTGTCCTTTCATTATTGACCCCTTTATTAACGGAAAAAAAAGCCCTAATCAGGCATGTACGTGAAGATGGACTGAAATTATGTGAGTGTCATAGAATCATTACAGTGTGGAAGCAGGCCATTTGACCGTTGAGTCCACTCTGACCCTCCCGAGAGCATCCCACTCAAATCAACCCCAGTTCTGTCCCTGTAGCCCTGCGTTGCCTACGGTTTAATCCACGTAGCCTGCACATTCCTGGATACTATGGGCAATTTAGCATGGCTAATCCACCTAGCCTGCACATCTTTTGACTGTGGGAGGAAACCGGAGCATCCAGAGGAAACACCCGCGGACACGGGGAGAATGTGCAAAATCTACATAGACAGTTGCCGGAGGCTGGAATCGAACCCGCGTTCCTGGCACTGTGAGACAGCAGTGTTAACTAAGCCACTGTGTTGCTCCCACCACTGAGCCACTTCCTGCCCCCGAGTGATGAATGTTTGTTTGCCACAGGCCATCAGAGCTAATGTGATTTAATAAGTTTGTTAACTTTGGAACAGGTGAATGGGTATTGGTAATTGGTATTGGTAGGATAATGCAGGAGCGAACTTACTATATACCCTGAGTGAATTGGGGTGTATATAGAGGAAAAAAAAAATTGTTTAAGGTGTGTGTCAACCATCATGTCATGTGTTTTGAGAGTAAATAGAGCACACTTGGTTGCCTTAAGGAGTTTTAGGGAAATGTTAGACATGTTCTTCCAGAAATTGATTCTGTTTAATTTACCAACCGAATTTGCTTCTTGTATTTCCCAACACGAACAACTCCCACATATATTGCTCCTGTAACATCATGACAATAATGATATTCAATAAAATTGGACCCTGAGCTAAATAGAGAGGTATTGGGACAGAAGACCAAAAGTTATGTCAATGAGGTAGGTCTTGAGGAATGTTTTAAAAGAAGAGCAAAATGGAGAGAGGGAATTTGAATGGTTGGGAAGGTAGTGCTCAAGATTTCAGTGTCAAATAGATTGCATGAATGTGGATGAGTCCAATCAACTTTTCCCATCTTTCTGTTTGTGTATTTGTATGTTTTAGTAGTTCATTCCACTGTTCAAACAGTCACCCTGGTGTCAGCAATGCCTCCATCTCCTGGAACCAGTCCGTTGGGTCTACGGGATGCCTTCTCCTCAAAGTCTGAATCATTGATGCCAGCAGATCTGGATAAATCAGCTGTGGAGCTCATTGACTGGCTGACACTCATTGATCAGATGATCAAATCAAACATAATTACTGTTGGAGATCTGGAGGAGATTAATGAAACCATTGTACGCCTGAAGGTATGGAAGAACATTTATTGAACCTATAGTGTGGTTGAGTTAGATGTGTGCAAACATATGCAAAACAAGGCAGAAGTAGACCATTTGGCCCCTTGACTCTGCTCCATCATTCAATAAGACCATAGCTGTTCTATTTTGGCATCAACTTCATATTCCTGAGTACCAGAGATGACCTTAGACTCCTTTGTTAGTCAAGAATCTATCTAGCTCTGCCTTAAAAATATTCAATGAGCATCTGGATAAGTACATGAATAGGAAGGGTTTAAAGGGGTATGGGCCAATTGCTGGCAAATAGGACTAGATCAGTTTAGCATATCTGATCACTGCGAACAAATTGGACCTAAAGGTCTATTTCCATGCTGTATAACTCTATGACTGCCTCCACAGCTCTCTGGGGAAGAGAGTTCCAAAGACTCATGATCATCTGAGAGAAAAAAGTTCCCTCGTCTAAGTGGAGGCCCCTTGATTTTTCAGAGATAACACAGTGTGGAGCTGGAGGAACACAGCAGGCCAGGCAGCATCAGAGGAGCAGGAAAGCTGATGTTTCGGATGGGGACCTTTTTGAAGAAGAGTCCTGACCCAAAACATCAGCTTTCCTGCACCTCTGATGTTGCCTGGCCTGCGGTGTTCATCCAGCTCCACACTGTGTTATCTCAGATTCCAGCATCGGC